TTTCATACAGTAGACATGCAAATGTACAAGGAGTGTTAAAGAACTGTCACTATTTATAATAGAAATAGCACATTTGTAAAGTGTTTAAACAAGGAATAAATCATCTATTAGAACATAGTGTAAGGTAAAGAGGTTGATACTCTTGAAATTGCACAGAGTATAACTTTTTTTTTACATTTGATATGGATTAATTCTACTTACATGGATATACTGTGAGGGCCAATCATCTAACACAGCGTCTACAGGCAAAGGATTTTCAATGATCTCACGCCGCCTTAAAGCAAASGTGTGATCCAGAAAATCCTTGTGGAGTTTCGTGTCCCTTGGCTTTCTGACAATGGCACGTTTAACTTTTTCTGCATATTCTTTTATGCTGGTCCAGGTTTCCCCTTCAGGAAGGTCTGGAACTTGAGACCACATTTCAGCTAAWAATAATCATGATTTAGAGCATGTACATTAATTTTGAGATTATAGATGTCAGTCACCTTTTCTTATTTTCCTGAAAGAATTGGTATTCATATTATTTTGTATTCTGTGAGGCCAGGGCTGGACTAATATCTGTGTGGCTACACTTACCCTTTTCTTCCACTGTACGCTTTTTCTTAGCGTCACCAATGTTTGCATTGTCATTGAAACAGTCCACTCTTAGCCTTTTTGGCTTCTGCAGCTTCTTCATACGGTTCATTATCTTAACTTCTAATGATCCCTAGGAAGATAAATGTTAAAATGATAAATATGATTACATGTAGGCCCTGGAAATGTGTACAAATGTAGCCATTATTGGGCCCTGTTTATATGAGGCCAGGTGCTCCTTCAATTCCTATCTTAGATAACTTGTTTATGATTGAATTTTACATAAAGTAAACATCATTATAATTTTAAAATTTAAAAATAAAAACTTTGTGAAAGTAAATTGCATGAATACAAGCGTAAGAAATGAGCTGTGATGAGAAGAAAGAAAAAACATACCCACACCGTTGCTCCTTCCAAGGTGGTGTTGTCCTTCATACCAGGAAATCTTTTGATTATCATTTTTGCCACTTCCATTCTTTCTGATTTGGTAGGATGGCTTGTGTATGCTTGTATTGCAAAACAGACATCTCTTATCAACTCATTCTTTATGTTGTTTGGAATGGGGTTTGCTTTCAAACAAAAAAACAAAACCAATACAGTGTTAGTGGTAAATCCATTCACAAGAGCTGAACATTTTTGATKAAATGTATGCTCCTGGTGAAAATAATATATACAATGACAATAATCGTGTGATAAAAAATTTGCAGATAAAAAATAGGTATGAGCTTTGTTGGGAGYCACAAATATCATGTGGGTGGGGTCCGAGTGATTACTTCTTTAAATCTATTTGTTTTTATTATTTTTTTCTGTGGTGGGAGAGGTGGTGATTCTTTCAGGCATAATCATCAGAGGTTTCAAGAATGCTCATTTCATTATTTAATATTAGGTAATTCACGTGTTGGTAGATTGAACTTTTCCAACCAACCCACAACCTACAATGTAAAAAAAACAAAGCAATAAATTGTAAAGTGCTTTTAATTGATTGCTTGATATTGACTTTCAACCAACTTACAAGAATATTTATTTGAAGCCATTTTATTTGTATTCAATTATTTAGTTTCACAACTCAATTTCTCTGTCAATGAATTTATGTCACTATGTAATATATCAAACGATGGTCTATTCACTTTGCTCATACATGTAATAGAAAGCCTTTGAATCATTTCAGATTTTATAATTTTGGATATACGGCTTGACATATAGCCGAAACTAAAAACATCAGATGCCATGCATGGTTCATAAACTCCCTCATAAATAGCTGGATCTACATGTCTATATATTTAGCTTGTTCACATAGAGGATTTATCCTTTTTCTACTGCTTTCCCTACAAACAGCTTTATTGAAATCAATTATCTTTGGGTCCCATGTTTTCAAATCGGTCTGCACAATAAGAATATTGTCAGATTTTATATCATTATGAATAATGTTGTTTAAAGATGGAGATAACCTAAACCATCACAACGCTTCCCCAGAATCTTTAATTCATTGATTTTAATATGTTTTGCTATTAAAGCTTGATGGATACTTAATGAGTGCCTCTTCCCATTAGACACCCCAAAAAATTCCATTACTAATTTGTACGTAGGTTCGAAAACTACCCCAAAAACAAATGGAAGTGTGGAATGTGAAAGCTGATTTAGTAAAGAAGCTTCTTCAATTACATGTTGCTTGAGTACTGTGGAACAATACTCCTTTACAGCGACCAACACATAATCACCAGACACATCCATACTCATAAGTTTACAAGTCCCAAATCTCCCTTCTCCAAGAATGACATCAGCCTCATTGTTTTTTATAGGTTGAAGAAGTTCTGGTCGAATTTTTTTGGCAAGCTTCAGTTGCATGTTTTTTTGCAATTTATCTAGATTGTTTGCAACAGCTTTAATTTTTTCACATTTGTTTTCTAAATATCTAACTCTCTTATTTGTAGTTTCTATTTTGCTTTCCATTGATTTTCAGTTTTAAGCTCATTCACAGTATTTTCCATAAATCTAACTCTAGTCCTTCTCATTTGTTGGTACGCCTGTTTCTTAATATATTTTTGCCTTTGGTGCCTTTTAGCCCGTCTAAGTTTTTCACCTAGTGAACATTTCTGAAAAAAATTTATACCTTAGTAGAATGAACCACTTTAAGAAATAAAATAAACTTCATAATAACAACAATAATATATAGCACTTAAGTCTGAAATGCAACTTAGCGATGCACACTTTACATGAGATATCAAGACCAGTTCAAGTCTCACTCTCAACATGCATTTGTACCTAAGTTACAAGTCAGAACAGTTCCACACAGTAGCAGTATTTGAGTAAAGTAAAACCAAGCAACACACACTGGACATGAGATACCAAGACTTATAAAGTCTTACTCTCAACATGCGTTTACCTTGGTCCACAATAAACAAATCTTCCACTGCTTGGCCAGTGTCAATAATTATTATCATCATTATTATTACAGGCTGACATCAAACTGAGCTCGCATAATCCAAAAAGTGAATGCATCTACAGTAAACTTAGAAACTACAAATCATTATCATTATTTTACCTTTCGACTTTTAGGTGTAACATCACAAACATTATCAGTTCTAGGAGACATGTTACTTCCATCTTGTAAATCATGTATAATAGAATAAAAAAACAATTACAAATCCAATTTACAGAACATGAAATAATTTATAGTAAAGATGTACAGTGACAGTGTTATTAATGCAGTTTCCATTATTAATATTGATCCAAAATATGATATAGCTGTTAGCAATTGCTGTAATACTAACACTTGAACTTGGACTAGTTCTCTTGGAAGTACTTCCCGGCTCTGCAAYGTCACTTCCAGCACTTGAGCATTGCTGTAGACCACAATTTAGGTAAAAKATTTTTAAGCTTTTACAGTGTTTATACCATATTTATACTTTCCGTATAAATATAAGTTAAGCCTAAATACTACTGTACAAACTGTACATATTGACAAGGAAAAGATAAGCAAAAGTAAACAGTAGMTATGGCGAGATTTTGAAAATAAGCTTTATATAAAACAAGAATATAAAATGTATTACTTACACTTGAGCTTGAAGAACTCTTTGGAGTATTTTCCAGGCCTAGATCTGCAGATATTAATTCCCTTGATGGAGTCTTAAAGGAATCAAACAATTAAGAACTTATAGATAGTCAACAGCAATAAGAAAAACTTTAATTATCTTATTTAGACATAATAAGTCAGAAATTCTTGTTTCACTTACACTTTCGTTCGATCTTGGCCGCGAAGTGTCCTCCAACGATGCCTCCAACGATTCTTTTTCTGTATTCTGAAAGTTTAAGAAAACAACTGTGTTAAAAATAGTTAGAAAAACACTTATACTTCACCTGAATATGAAATCATTCTTATTTCACGGCTTTTAAATGGGAACGTTGGCGATTTATCTCAACATTTTAGCAGCACACTGCTTCGAGCGCCAGAATCTAACGTTCGCAAGAAAAATAACGGTCAAATCGATTGGTGACTAACATTTATGCGCATGRGCAATACAAATGGCGCGAAGTCACGACCTCCCGCGATGACCGCGTGGTCTCTTGATAATATGAATTTCACAATTTCCTACAAATTAAGCTTACCTTTTGATTCAATTTTTGTATTTCAGATTTGAATATTCTTCTCTCTTTAAAAAGAGGAAAGAAAAAGATCATTTCTTGATGATCTTCGCTCAATGACATTAGGTCATCACCATTAAGTTGTTCCAWCTCTGCAAACGCGAAATATAGATATTAGACCAAATATTTATCGTAGAGATAAGACATCGTGTGTCTTGACTGAAATTAGGTATAAATCATGATTTATTAAAGGCTGAACATGGGCTATTCTTAACGACATGGCAGTCACAAGTCACGCWTCGGCTCACTAAAAAGCTAAGATTTTTCCTACTCACCGATTTTAGATATGGTGCCAGCAGAGAAATTATTGTTTCTCAACCATTCTAGCACTTCTTCTGATGTGAAATCTCTTCGAAACGGATCCATAATTGCTTGAAGTTCTAGCGTATTTTAAGGTCTTCCTGAGTGCGCGAAGAGTTAAAGGCCAAGAGGCCAATGGTATAAGTGTACTCGGTTATATAGCCAGTGTGACGTTCATTACATATGACAAAGCAACTATTGTTTAGAAAGGAACTACGTCGTTACTGATGAAAGATTTTACCAGGACGAGAGTGTGTTATAACCAATCATTTTTTAACATATGGCACTACTGCATGATTAGGTTGTGCAATCATTGTCCAAAAAAAAAATGACCTCATGTTTTTGGTATTTGCAAAACGGTCACAAGACCATGATCAATCAGGTCGTAATAGGTCACAAGGGGTGAAGAGCAAACAAAATCACACTAGAGCAGTTGTACTTCGAGCACGTGTTAACTGGGAACTGGCCATTAACTGCGCTAAGGCATGCCTTTCACTTGTGGTATGTGCGCGGGTTCTGCCATCATCACTTTTGCGCTTCTTTTGAACCATTATCAAAGAGTCCACGCACAAGACCCAAACTTCAGTGTGTGGTATTGGAGGTTGCTGCAGTACTTATAGAAATTTTTATGGMTATAGAAGTCATGTGCAGAGGAAACACCGGGCATTTTATGAAAACGCTAAAAATATTACTCACGTGCAAAACAACGAGTCAGATAATGAAAGCTGCACTCAAGATTCCCCTCCAGTGAGTGAGGACAATACTCAAGACATTGAAACAAGAAACTGATACCGTTGGCGAGCTGCAACACAAGAATGCAGCATTGTACTAACTTCGAGTGAAAGAGAGCTACAATTTAACTCAAAAGGCTGTGTTTGATGTCGTTAATAACACAACCCACCTCATTCGCGAAGCTGTAACTGCTGTCTGCGCAACARTAGCGAAGGAGCTGAATCGGGTATCTGGGAATGATTTTTCTGCAGAAATTGATACCGCTATCGACAAAAACTCGCCAATTGTAAATCCTTTTCTGGGGCTAGAATCCATCTCAGGACAGACATCCACATTCAAGGAATTGTTGGGGCTCGTTGTAAGTGTCTATCTACCTATCAATGTTACGTTTATCAACCTTTTTTATTAGAAAATTGCTCGAAATTAAAATRAAAGGATGAGAGGCCGTAAAACGAAAAATGGGTCTTACAAACGAGGCTCGTCACCAGTCTTTCTTATCTACGACCACTTGGCGACCTCCATGTTTGAGAATGTGGTTTATTTTCTCAATGACCTCAATTTATCAGTGAAATCCAGAGGTTTGAATTCATGATTACAAATTKTGTATATTATATCTAAATGTTTTTGTTTTCTTTACATCCTAGGAACCAGAGAAACGCATCCTTGGTTTACGACACGGTCATCGAAGAAAAGGGGCGAAACGAAGAAGGGTCCGACTCCAAGATGAGGTGATAGATGTTCCTTTTCTCGATAGCCTTGAGCAAATGCTCAATGATCCTTCAATTCTCAAACAGGTAAAGTATTTCAACTTTAAAACTTAGTAACTAACAGTCAAGAATAGAAATAAATAAACATGGTGTGGGCTTCCTGTGGTGTTCCTTTTGGAAAGCTTGACTAAGTAGAAAATTATAAGCTTATATATTGTTATTGTAATATAATGTTTACTTGATACTTCATTGCCTCATAATTTGATGCAGCTTATAGCACTAAATGAGCAAAAACTAACGGTAATCACAAGAAAACAAATTGGTAACTTAATACATAATATTACTATAACACTTAAGTATTATTATTTTTTTCATGTAAAAAGGTTGAAAATCCCCTCAAAAGAAATGATGGCATTATTGCAGACTTTTGTGATGGATATGCATTCAGGCACCATCCACTGTTTTCAAGAGACCCACATGCAATCCAGATAATACTATATTATGATGAAGTTGAAGTGGTAAACCCATTGGGTAGCAAGACATCAAAACACAAAGTTGGTAAGAGTTTTTTAGGGGAGTGCTGGAGGGGGGGACCCCACTCAGGAACCCCACTGTTAAAATAATTATAAAGGACAGTTGCTTGACAGCATTAGGCTTCCTGTTGTAAAATGCACAAGGGATTCCTATASCAACCCAATTATTTCCTGGGGCCCCACTTTTGAAAAATTTTTGATCCACCCATGAAGTTGTATCACACCATGCATTTGTCAATTTAATGAAAATCTATTTAAAACATGAATTTTATTATATATTAAAATTAGCCTTGGAAAGGTGTTCAGGATCTTTACATCAAGTAATTAAATGATCAAACATGTTGAACATATTCATGGTTATCTGTTGAAAAATTTCTTCTTTTTCAAGGTGTATTTTACTATACATTGGGTAATATAAATCCGCTGTACCGCTCTCAGCTAAAATGCATGCAGCTTTTGGCAATTGCCAAAAGGCCAGTCATAAAGCAATATGGAACCAATGTGATTTTGCAAAGATTTATGGAAGATCTTGCAAAGTTAGAAGAGGTTAGTTCAAAAATAGATAAAGATTAGTTTATCCACTTAGGAAACAATGATCATATTACAGTGCTGACAATCAACTCGGCTCACTTCTGATAGCTGTTTGCCAACCAATRAAATAGTAGAGATTTGATGCTAATAATAATTATAATTTCTTATTGAACAGCTTTGTATAATTTAGCCCAATCCATACACTTTCTAYACTGTCTGATAGAATGTTAGCTTCAAAACTTTATAGGCAAGTATTTTTTKATTAAAGTATTTTATTTGGTAGGATGCAGGTTACCAATTCAATATAAATGGAGAACGTAGATCATTTGCTGGTACTGTGGCATTTCTGTCTGGGGACAATTTGGCCTCTCAAGAAATTGGTGGCTTTAAAGTTGGTAGTTCCTCTAATCTAAGATGTAGGGAATGTATGGGGAATGCTGTAGATGTTTCAACAAAGGTAGCTAACAAAAACTTTGAATGTATAATTTTAACTTATAAAATAGTATTGATTCATTAAAAATATCGACAGAAGAAATGCGTAATCTTTTACTTAATATGTAATAAATTATACATATGATGCATGGCAATGTAACTTTTTGAGATAATTTGTATTTGAATATAAAATAATGTTTAGTTTCAGATCGGTGATTTCACTCTTCGCACTAAAGCTGGATACAATATGAATTGTACTGCCATTGAAAACTCTGAT